ATAATCTGAATAATTAATAATGCTAATAATGCCTTCTTTACCATACTTAAATGCTTTGATGTTCTTATGAATCCAGCTTCCTGAAATATCTGAAATACAGCACATTTGAAAGCTTCTGTTGTGACGTCAGACGCTACGGAGAATAAAGGGACACAATGAAAGTGGATGGAGATTTATAAAGTAGTTCTGAAGAGACTAAAAGCAGACCATATGACAAGTGCACTCTGAGTCTTTAAGACAAACAACCTGTAAATCTTGCATGAGTCATTTGGACTGCTTTTTATGTTTTTATTTGAGTTTGGCATTATTAACATCTGTCAAATTTTTTATACAGAAAGTAGATACTTTAGTACTGCCTTGTGTCTTTTTTTTAACAAACTTGTGTCTTTTTTAACAAACAAACAAACAAACAAGCATTAAAGTGTTTGCTCTCAAATTCAGATTTCTGTATGTTAAAAGGGATAGTTCAACCAAAATGGAAAATTCTGTGCTCATTTACTCAACCTTCACGTGTGTGTGTGTGTGTGTGTGTGTGTGTGTGTGTGTGTGTGTGTGTGTGTGTGTGTGTGTGTGTGTGTGTGTGTGTGTGTGTGTGTGTGTGTGTATTTATTTATTTATTTATTTATTTATTTATATAAAAAAGTTATTTTGAAAATTGTTGAAAACCTGTAACCATTGACTTTCATAGTATTTATTTATCCAGTTATGGCACTTAATTTGTTACAGCAGTGGTTACCAACCTTTTTTTTTTTTTTTTTTGCCTGAGACCCCCTTTTCCCCTGGAAACTATTATAAGGTCCCCCTCCACATTTAATGATAATATTGCTAATATAAGCTTGCAGTAATGATGACCAAAAAATTTGTTTTCAAACAAAGGGTATGTTATTACTAAATATCTAGATATGTTTATGCATAAATAATAGCCTAATGTAAAATATAAAAGCAAAACATCAGCAGGCCATTTGTAACAAAAAAAAAAACGTAAGCCTTTGCTCCTTGCAGTCCAAAACTGCTCTGGGCCTGTCACTGTATTGCGGATGAGTTCTCTGCAAATGTCTTGGATGGTCTGCATTCGTTAGCAAGAACTCTGGTGCAGATAATGCACTGTGGTTGGGTCAGGGACATTTTGCTTTGAGAAAGTGGAAAAAAATATATAGTTTTGGTAACTACTGTATATTGATATTTCCTGCATTTTGTGTTTTCAGTATTGCTAGCTCTGTGACCCGAAATGTTTGAAGCTTCCTTACCTGGGTCCACTATGCTTGGGTCTATACTATTAGCTGCTGAAGGCAAATTAGCGAGACTCTTTTTGTGAAGGATGAATTACAAATTTGTCCTTTTTTTTTTTTTTTTGGTCACCCAGGGGATGAAATGAACTAAGGCAACATGATTGTTCTAATCGTCCACTGCGAGAAAAAAAGAGACGTGATCCCCTACAGAGCTTACTGAGGACTGAGACCCCCCTTTTGGAGACCCCTGTGTTACAGGATTCTAACATTTTTTTCAAAATATTGTATTTTGTGTTCCACGAAATCTTTACACGCATTGATCCAGAGACTGTTTATATGGATGTCACTGAAGAGAAGATGACAAATGTTTACTGTAAGATGACCTTAAAAAAAATAAAATGGCCTTAAACACCTAGCAGGCACAAGACGTCAACATGATGTCAGATTGAGGTTGTACCCCAACGCTGTGGGGACATTGGATTTCATTTAAAAATGAAAATCAGGTTGACGTCAGAAACGTCCAACCTAAAACAACCAAATATAAACTCCTAATGATAATACAGCTTAATGTTGTGTGGATGTTACCACTAAGATGTCTATCAGATGTTGGATTTTGGTTGCCATACCTGACAAATAAATGTCAGTATTTGACGTCAATATGACGTTGGTTTAAGATGATTGGATTTTGGTCACTTTCCAACACAACCTAAAATCAACAAAATATCAATGCCGTTGACATCGTTACTACACATGAAAATAATACTTTTACTCTGCTTGCACTACATTTTTAGGCAAGTAATAGTACTTTAACTTGAGTATGATTCTTCAGTACTCTTTCCATCACTGCTTGACAGTAAGTAAATGTTCTTTTTTGGGTGAACAATCTCTTCAAATTCTTATTTTTAACTTTTATTTAGCTTTTAACTCTAAATGCATTTTTTAAAATAGATTCAAATTAAATTTGATTTGAAGAAATATAAATCAATACTGAATATATAGTTCAGTGTAAAGGTTAAAGCTCACAAAAAAATGTGTCCGAAATTTTTGCACACTCATCCTTAGGTATCAATTGCATTCATAAAACAATCGGATCAGGTTCTATTTTTTATTTTATTATGTTTATTAATTTATGTTTATTTATTTATTTATTTTTTTCCATTGAAAAATCGTTTCGAGAGCTGTTTTTCTCCTGGCTTGCTTGGTTTGGGGCTTGTGGAGCTGCGCATTGTTGGATTTGCTTGTTTGGGCTTTCAGTGGAAAAATAAACCACACTGAACTAAACTAAACTGCACTTCAACTGGACTGAAGCAGTTTCAATTTACTAGAACTTCTGTGTTCAGCTGCTTTGACAATCTACATTGTAAAATTGCTATAGAATTAAAGATGATGAACTGTTTCAGACACAGTTCAGAGCCCCTATACAAGCAAAAGGCAAAACCAAACAGCTCTTCAGTGTTTGAACTTTCCTCAGTAAAATTTAAAGAGCCCATATTATACATGAAATAGGGTCATATCTTGGTTGTAAAGGTCTCCAACAACAGTTTAATATGCATGCAAGGTCAAAAAACACTTTCATGGTCTTATAATCTGCATTTATTTTTACCTAATTATCCCACCGACTCCTGTATGAATCGTCCAGTGATTCATTTGTTCCCAAACCCCTCCTTAGCGCGAAGCTAATCTGCGCTGATTGGACCAATGACAGTCTGTCGCGATTGGTCGACTGCCTTCAGTCAGAGAGTGAAATGCCAAACAGCTAATCAGCAATATAAAAGTAATCACAGTTCATACACGCTCGATAGTGTAGGCGTGGATTTTAGCTGCCAGTGGGTCAATGTAAATACAGACTATGGACTTGAAAATACAGACGACTAACTATTTTATTGAGCAAAAACTCCAAAAACAGTTGAGGAGATCTCCTAGCTTCTCACTCTGCTCTTTTCACAGACACACACACACACATATTGCACACACACACACGCACTTAACCCTGCTCCGGACGACAACGCACACACACACACACACACACACACACACACACACACACACACACACACACACACACACACACACACACAAACACACTCACCTCCGGACGACAGCGCGCGCACACGCACACACAGACACACACACTAACGTTACTCCTCGTCCACGGAGCTCCGTTAACAAAGCAGCACGCGTCGCGTTTTTAACGTGACTTTGCACGCGATAAGAGAATATAGCCAGTTAACCTGATACAGTACACGCGGTTACAAGTAACAAATCACAACTAAATACATTTGCAAGCTAGAGTCAACGAGGCAACTTTAATCGCACGTACTTACACTTGAGAAATGGAAGAAACCCATCCTGACGTCCATCAGTAAGTTACTCTTTACTGATCCTTCCTTTAACAAACGCTGATGAAGTATTCTTTGTAGCATGTAGCTTCCAGAAGTTTCCAGTAGTTTCCAACTGCTTGGCTATAATGCTGAGGTTTCATGTTTGGGTAGAGACTCAATATATCCATCTGCAGTGTGACTTCAATCGACCGGCATGTTTGTGTTTGTGTGTGTGTGTGTGTGTGTGTGTGTGTGTTTGTGGGGGTGTGTGTGTGTGTGTGTATGTGTTTGTGTGTGTGTCTGGGTTTCTGCGTCAGAGGGCGGGGCCTCAGGTTTGAAATCTCCCGGGTTTGCGCGTGCACGTGAATAACTTGGTTTCATTCGTACGTCATGGCGAAACACCTAATGAATCGGTATCAAGGCGACTCGTTTGAAGCACTATGAGTCGACTCTTTTATAGATGAATCAACAGTTTTAAACACTGTTCACTAACAGATTTAAGCCTTAGCTGGATACTTCACTTCACTTAGAGCTGTGTTACACACTACATGGAGGGGAATTTTCAAAAACCCATAATATGGGCTCTTTAAACCACGCTGAACTAAACTAAACTAAACTTCAATTCTGAAATCTGGACTTTACTAGATTTTCTTTGTTAAGCGGCTTTGACACAATCTACATTTTAAAAGCGCTACATAAATAAACATGAATTGAATTAGAAAAACTATGCCATCACTTGAGTGTTGAGCACAGAGCACTTTATGACAGACAGTCTATACTCTGTAATATGAAGACAGAATGTGGCGGACAGTTGAGAACCATTGCCGTAGACTGCTGTATGCTGGATTTAGTGGCTGGCGCACATCTCCCCTCCTGCTGTCTGTGTGTGCGTGTCCATTTCTTTGACATGCTGCCAATTTCTATTCAGGATTTGTTTATGGATGGAAGTTTGTAAAGTATCACAAGCAAATGATCAAAATTCTGTAGATTTCCTGAAATAAACTTTGCAATTTGGGATAATTCTGCGCAGCTGTTTAATAAGAAGGCGAACTCTCCTTCCTCTCTGTGCAGGGTATTGGATGAACACAACATTTCTTTTTCTATTTTGATGAAGAGAGAGGAGAACAAAGCACTGCTTGAATGGACTCTGAATTGTTTTGGGTTTTTTTCTGCAATGGATTGTTTGGATATGAGTACAAAAAAGATACAGAAATTTGTGCAAAAACCTTAACTGAGCAGCATCTGTATTAGTGGGGAACAGCAAAAATCGTTATAGTCTATTATTATTTTTTTATTTTATTTGCTATTATTAATTACCAATACAATTTAAATTTATTGATGTTTTAAATAGATTTATATGATTGTTTAAAGCATTTGCATGCCAATTATACTCAAATATACTTAATAATTATATTCATGCATCCTTATATTTCCTATTTTTTCATTGTAGTACCTGTTTACCGACACCACAAACAGTTATCTGTGGAACACCTTTGACTTTTGCAAAACCGTCCAGGGTTTCTCCATCCCGTTCAAGCCCACAGACCTGCTGCTGCACAGTAAAAGGCCGAACCTGGTCCTCGGTTACGACAGCTCTCATCCTAACAAACAGGTATGTTCACTGATGCCTTCCTTCAGCCTCAGCTTTTGCCTATCCTGTGTCCAGTTTCAGTAAGATGCACGGCGCTGTCAGCTGTTTGTTGACATTGTCCTTTTGAACTATAAGCAGCCTGTTTTGATTTTAGGTGATCAGCTTTAATTTTTTATTAGAAGCAGGTTCATGACAAATGATGACACATATTTAGTATTGTACCTGAAACTGCTGACTCTTGAGGACTTATATCCTGTATTCTGTTTCTGTCTGTAATGTCTCTTTGGCAGCTGTGGAAGTCAGATGACTTTGGTGAGACGTGGGTGTTGATTCAGGAACATGTCAAGTTCTACTTCTGGTAAGATCAGCCGGGTTGACAGTGTTGATGCTAATTACTCTCTCAAAATGTCTATCACACAGTCTATGTTAAACGTTTGTACTTGTGTGTGTTGGTATGAGGTTTTATGTTTAAATCAATGGACAAATACGGTTATGTTGCTTTTTAAGACCAGCAAGTTTTCCAGCAAGTAGCGGAAACAAGATGCTATTTTTGGAACATGTTTTTAATGCAGCTCTACACTTATTTAATAATAATATTTATTCTGTGAAGCATAAGGAATTTTACTTATTTATTTATAATGTACATTTAAAGATTAAAAATAATGCCTTGTATGATAATTGTATGTGACCTGATGGCTCAGTGGTTAGCACTGTCGCCTCACTGCAAGAGGCTGGGTCAGTTGGGATTTCTGTGTCGAGTTTGCATGTTCTCCCCCTGCAGTCCAAAGACGTGCTATTAGTGTATGTGTGTAAATGTGAGTTTATGGATGTTTCCCAGTTCTGGGTTGCAGCTGGAAGGGCATCCGCTGTGTAAAACATGCTGGATAAGTTGGTGGTTATGGAGCCAGATTAGTCTCAAAAATAATACATTTACAAAATATAATTGAAACATCCACAACACAATTCACATTTATAAAATCCAATTTGTAAGTTTAAAACACAATTTGTAAATATACAAATCCATTTCGTAAATTTTACACACGACTCATAAATGCACAAAAATAAAACACGATTTATAAATACACAAATTTAATTCGTAAATTCAAAACATGATTAAAAAATGCACAAGATCCAATTTGTAAATTTAAAACATGATTTATAAATACACAAATCTAATTCGTAAGTTCAAAGCACCATTTATAATTAAACAAATCCAATTCATTTGGCAAAAAAAAAAATAGGATTTTTTTGTTGTGAATACACAAATTGTGTGCTGTATTAATAAATTGTAAACTGAATTTACAAATTAGACTTTGTAAATGTGAATTGTTCTGTGGATATATGAATTATATTTAATTCCACTTTGGAGACCCCTGATGAGTAAAGGGACTAAGCGACGGAAAATGGATGAATGAATGATAATTTTACAAAATGGTAAAATAAAATAACATATTTTGTTAAAGGCTGCTATGCAGGAATACTTCACTGATAGCTGTTTTAAGTTATCCAGAGCTGTATGAATGTAAAAATTTTGAATATCACAATATTATTAAATATTACAATTGTAACAACATAGACAGCAACACTTATGCACAATCGATACCCAGCTGATTCAGTCGTTTCATAAGAGGACCGCGCTTCTTCTCTTCTTTTTTCCTTGTCAACATAAAGGCAGTGAGATGCGCCTTGTTTTCGGCCCCTTGTTCAACTGCAAGACATACTTAACTTTCGGGACGATAACGTATAACCCGTGCCTACAGACACATTTGCCAAAGAAGCAGAATGGAAGAAGAATATTTCTGTTTGATACAGACGTGTTGATGCCCAACCAGCGCTTATGTTGGCCTGGATCTGCGTTATAAACGCAACAAATAGACATTACCTTTTATTTTACAGCTTATAAAGCATGTATGCACATTAATGCAATATCATATTTAAACAATAAAACTATTTACAAAAAGTCAACATATGCGCGCGTTGTTGTTGTCTTTTCATCACGCAGCGCACACACTTGAACTGCGAGGGAGAGAGGAAACCATATATCAGGACATATTCTTTAAAATAATGATTTCTATTAAAAATGTAAAAAGGTTTTGTGATTTATAATAATAACAGCGGGGCATTAAATAAAGACATATTTTCTATGGAGCAAGCAATTCGAGGAAGTCAGCTATTTTTATTTGACGGAAGAAAAAAACATATGATTGGAAAAAAAACAGCCTATGCCGGTTATTAAAAAGAATCAGTCAGTATTTTCGTTTAGAAATATAAATTAATTATTTAAGTGAAAATAATTTCGAGCAGTCCTATTTATTTTATTCATTTTATTTAGATTATTCTGCTCTTCTGTGCTAAACACTGCAGGTTCGTGAAAATGCTCTGTTGTATTGTTCTATTATTAATATGCTAGCATATAAAAATAAATCAGTATTTTAAAATGCAATATTTAATGTGTCAGACACAAAATAGGCACGTCAATTTGTTTAATATAAAATTAATAGTAATCTGACCAGTTAACCGTTAATAACCGATTAATGAGCGGCGGTTGTCGGTTAGCAAAATTAACCGAAATGAGCATCCCTAATGTATATATATGTAGATGTAATAAGCATATTTTCTACTTGCGCTGTGCTCTAACAATTTTGTAAAGAAATCTAATTATTGCAATAAATACTTTTATAATGTTACACAATAAATAAATATAACAATTAGCACAGGTTTTTTTTAACATAAATATAACGTTAACTGTTAGTTCTCACCGAAGGCGGCAAGTGCGGTTAAGTTCGCTCTGGCCGTCCTGGAAACGACGATGTCTGATTGCTTTCCACCGAACTGCATCATAGCCCATTACCATAATGTTGACTTGATTTCAACTCCCCTCGATGCCCACACCGGCAAAGACAGACCATGATGCTTTTTGCTGCTGGCTCCCATTGAAAATGAATCAATTCTGGCTACTTTGATGCTCTCGCCACTTTTGATGTGAAAGCACAGTAAGACTTTTATCTGGAGCAGCAAATCAGCATATTCGTCTGATTTCTAACAGACCGTGTGCAGTCTGCTCTGATTCCCACTTTTCTTGTTGTTATTTGAGCCCATCGTTGCAAAGATACTTCATACATAGCTCATTACTGTGGTTTCGATTGCTATCTAAAAGAGCAGGATGTGAGTTAGCAGCTTGTTGTTACCCTAAACACACGGCATAAACAGAGCTCAAGAAGATCACCATGCCAATCTACTGCCTGCTCTCCACGCTCCTCCGTATAGGATTTTTGCATCAGCATTTGTAATCTGAAGAAGCTCGAGCGCTCACTCGGTTCAGGAGTTTATGTAGGAATGTGAAACTCTTGCTCTGGGTCGCAGCCAGAAGTTGGTGTTTGCACAATCAGGCTCTGGCATCGACTAGCAAATAACAGAGCGCCTCTGTTGGTCTCCTATTCCGTAAACATTATGCCACAGGATATGATCCGACTGAAAGACTGGAGCTAATTACAATATTATGAGTGAAATTCATCACAGACATGATTATGTTGTTTTTTTTTTACTTTAGCTCAAATGACTTTAAAGTCTTGATGCCAGAGCAAATTTGTTTTGCATATTGTTTTAACAGAGTAGTCTGATATCTACAGTGCCCTTCACTAATATTGCAATCTTTGGTGACAAAGAAAATATTGCACAAAATATATTAAAGAGGACCTATTATGTAAAATATATTATAAGGTGTTTAAACAGTTGCGTGAATATAGTCAGCCTCTATTGATCAAAATTCAGTGATTAACAGTTTTATTAATTCTCAGGCAAATTTCAGAATGAAATACAGAATAAAACTCTGTATAGTATCAACATTTTACCCTATTAACAAACCCAACCCAAACCAAACTAATCCCTGACTACGACTTTAAGATCCCGGCTTGGCTACCATTAAATACAGTTAAAGCCTCCATCTCTATATAATGAAGAGGAAATTAAAATAAAATCCAATAAGTTAAATTAATGTGTAAGTTCAGTCAATAGCATATCACATTTACCCTGTCAAAATCAGTATATTTCTCACACATTGATTACTGTTCCATTTCCAAACATGCTGCTTGGACCATTTTTTATAGAAGAGGTTTAGCTTGTCCATTTCCTTATAAGACAATTATTTTAAATGCAGCCACTCTAGCAAGTTTTACTGCCCATTCTTGAAGGGAAAGGGCATCTTCTGATTTCGAGTTCCTAAGAATTATGAGTAAAATAGTTGGAACTTTTTTTTTGGATTTTATTTTTTTATCTGTTATTTCGTTGTTTGTCCAACCACCTATAAACAGTCCAGGCATAATGAATTATGAAAATCTAAAACCAAGCACATGTGTTCATGAACTCTTTCCAGAAATCCTGAATTTTTGTGCAAGATCATAGAGCATGAACTGAATCACCATTCTCGATCTCCCACAATAAGGTGTATATTTTAACCCAAGCTTAAACAGTCTGAAAGGAGTCCAGTAAAACAGTGTATAATTTTAAACTGTATAAGGTGAATTTTAGCATCACTAGATGCTGTTTTAACATTATCTATTGGCAAAAATCACTTTATACTCATTGTAGAAACACTTTTTTAATATTATAGTTTTTTTTTTTTACCTTAAAGCAACACAGAGCAATACAAAAAGTAACAACAAATATAAAGACAGAAAAGAAAAGGAAAAAATAAAAATAAAAATGTTTTTAAACATTGTTAAATCAGTTCCTCCAGTTTTATACAAAGGTTAACAATGGTATACATATATTTCTAGGCCAGAGGGCATGGGCAATATGGTGATATTGCAAAAAATGACTGAATCCATGAAGTGTGTCAGATCAACCAAAAACAGCGATTGCTGGATCATGGGCGAGCTGACAAGAATAAGCCTTATAGAGTAGAAGCTGAAAATTTCACTCAAACTCAAAAAGTTTTGGACATGACCAAAAAAGATGTTCCAAGGAGCCTTCTACAGATTCACATTTGTTACATTTAAAGGAGATTGAGGGGTAGAAGCTTAACCCTAGAATAATGAAGCCGATATACTACTTTTTACTGTATTAGTTGATGTTTTGAATTAACAGAACATGTATTTATGACTTGTAAAAACACTCAGATTGGCATTCTCCCTTTGTACTTGTCATCAGAGAGGGACAGCCACGCCCATTAACAATGATATCTTCTCGCTCATTTGGATAAACTGCCCTGAGTGAGAAGCAGCTGTCCACCATAAGAGTTTTGACCTGCTGAAGATAAGAGGATTATACACAGGGAGTTTTAAGATTCACAAATGTACACTGTAGTCTCCATGGACTGCCTTCTTCTGAGGCACTTCTTTTGACATTTTCAGTTTTTCA